ATCTAAGATGTGCAGGCAATTGGCTGACTGTTTCCTTTATCTCTGTTTCCCAATTTTCATCTGACCCTTGTTTGAAATAAACCCTTCTCTCTTTTCCCTCATACAACAGCTGTTGTGGTTTCTTTAACACACGTATTAAATTCCATGATGAACTATAAGGATGTATAAAGTTGACAGTCTCCCTATATATTGTTTATATGATTAAAATGTTTCATGTCAATACTAAAAGAACTTTAATTAAAAATTATTATTTTTATGCTAAACATAATTGGGATAATATATAAAATTCTAGATCTATAAAGACAACTAACTTATAAACTGTGAAGAATAAATTTACTTAAATTGAAGCTATTGAGGATAATTAGAAATGCAGGTTGAAGTATGCTAAGTAATGTAAATAATTTCTTACTTATTGCCTGGCATTTAAAATGTTTAATTTTCCCATATTACACAAAACTGTGCCATGCCTTTTACTTGCTAGAAGGTCTTTGTTCGAATTACATTTTTGAGTCATTTGGATTATATTTCTTATACCAGATCAAAAAATAATTTATCTTGTTACCAAATTCCAAATAGAGGAAAGCTCATCAAACAGGTTTCAAAGTAAGTTTTTACTATTCCTTTGATTAAAGAAACTCACTCTATATTGACTGCTCTCAATAATCTATGACCCTTTCCTCTTGATTAATTTAATAAAAAAGTATATTAGGATGTAAAGTTCTTTATGGATATAAAGGTTTAATTAAATGATTTTTTTAGTGCTTGAAAACCAGGTTTAGATACATAAAAAAATAAAACATAGTCCAGATCTTCTTCCCCTTCTATGATAGTTAAATTAAGATTTCAAAATTTCAAAGTTTAAACTCAAAAAATTCTAAATAAACTGATACAACAACAATGCTTGCTATTCAGCCATAAGCTCAGGATTTTATATTCCTTGGTCATTTTTTAAAAATAAAGAAAAATGCTTCTCATTTTAATAGATACATTTTTTTTTGATTTGTACTCATCCAATCTTCTAAACAAGTAAAAATAAATATTACTGCTTTAAACCAAAATTACTTTTAGATTTCCAAGCTTCTTTTATGACTCAAGTAATGAGTCTGGTTGCCTCTTCTATAACATGAATTTCAATACAGAATACAAATAATAATAATAATGGAATATCTGACACTTTTGCCTTTTAAAGAAAGTTCTTATAAGGTTTCAACTTTTTGGAGGTCCAAAAATGTGAGCCTATTTCCATATTGTCTGAAGTTCAAAGAGTTAGAGGATGCTCAATATTGCTAACAACAATCAGAGATATACATCTTGACTCAGGATGTGGTTTCTTGGTTCTTTTGACTTTAAGATGGCACATATGGGTAGATCCATTCCATAATGACAGATGGTCAGGATATGCCCACATATATTTGTTCCTTCTATTGTCATAGGAGGTTACCCCAGGAATGACTGCCTTCAGGATACTTGGTCTAGGGTGGCTTCACTTCCTAAACAACAGAATGCTAATGACTTGATGTCTCAAAGTGTTTAAGCAATTAACAGTTGTCTTTTGTATTATGTTAAAGAAGTCTCTCTTTAGTTACTTTTTCCCTCTTTTGTATTGGGGTATGAAAAGGTAAAAATTAAACGTTGCAATTTTCAGTATTCACTGGAACACATTCCCAGTACTATTCTATGGTTTCTGTTTTATTATTTTTAAATGTGCCTTCATATTCTATACTAATATTTCTGATCCCCACAACCTTACCCTGGCAAGTGGTATTTTTGTCAAGGCTGGTCCCAGGCAAACTTGGATTAACGAACATCATCATAGGTCAAAATTAACTCAGATAAGTATACTTATGAACAGCTTATTTTCCAACCTGCCTGTTTATTTATTTTTTTTTTTGGGGGGGGGGGTTCTTGTCTTCTCTCCCTGTCCTGGAATACTTTTCTTTCATCTGCGAAAATTCCAAAAGTGCACTTAAGAGAAAAAGTTTCCTCTTTAAAATTGTTAATGTTCTGCCATTAACATACATTTATCCACTAGATTCATAATAATTGAAAGGGTTGCTCTGCCATCACTTTGGATCTCATCCCTGTGCCCAGCCTTCCAGCTCACACTCCAGGGGATTCTGCTGTGCTCTCCTGGCCTTCTCTCAGCCCAGGGTTCTGTAGCTTGTTTGTTTGTTCTAAGGAAACAAAACTGGGTGGGTAAGGATGGGTCAGGTATTCTTGGAAGAGTGTAAATAAGATCAAAACGCATTGATCAAAATTCTCAAAGAATAAAAAGCATTAAGAATAAGTTTGAGAAATTTGAATTAGGAAAAGAGGTAAATTCCAAATTACTTGAATACTGCCTATAAAGTGTGTGAACCATTTGCTTTATAGTAATAATTTTTTTCTCTCTTTATATGTTGTTTGAAACATTGTCTTTCTCTGATCTAGATTGGTGACCAACAAGTCCTGGGATCCTCCTGTTTCTGTCCCCTGTAGACCTCAAATAACAGAAATGTGAGAAGAGTCATGCTTGGCCTTTTATGTGAATGATGGGAATTTGAATTCAGGTCCTTGTGTTTCTACAACAAAACTCTTCCCCATTGACCCATCTCCCCAGCAACATATAAACATAAGCCCAGCATGGTGACACAATCCTTCAAACCCAGCACTCAGGAGAACAAGGCAGAGAGATCTCTGAATTCAGGGCCAGCCTATGCTACATAGTAAGACTCTGTCTCACAAAAGAAAAAGAAGACAGAAAAAGATTGGTTTCCTGTATGCTTTTTTTGGAGGGGGGGGGGTTGAGACAGGGTTTCTCTGTGGTTTTGGAGCCTGTCCTGGAACTAGCTCTTGTAGACCAGGCTGGTCTCGAACTCACAGAGATTCACTTGCCTCTGCCTCCCAAGTGCTGGAATTAAAGGCCTGCACCACCACCGCCCGACCCTATATGCTCTTAAAATGATTCATTTAACTAGTGATAAATTTCAATCTCTGTAAGAAACTTGTTTGAACAGTTCACTGGCAGCTTGTTGGGGGATTCTTTAGAAGGGCCAATGCTCATGAAAACTTAGTATATCTTTAAGAATTATTTCCACAGAGCTATGGAAGAAAACTTACCTTGTGTTTATTATAAATCAGGTGGAGACACTGACAGGACATTTCCCTGGGTTATCTCATCTAAATTTGAGGCGTTTGTATGAGTAGAACTATTTTTTCCAAGTCTACTGTGAACAAGATTATGTGGTCAGATAAGGCCATAAACCTATCAAGTTTCTTTTGTAGATAAAATTCACACAGTTTAATGACGTACAATGAAGTATTTGTAGAAAAATGCTTTTTTTTTGTCAGGAACTTAGTTGAAACTAACCAGTCTCACAATCATAATGGTGACAACAAGATTCATTCCAAACACTCACTTTAAAGACACCACTGTCTGGTGCTTTTCATCATGAAAGTGCAAGGACAACTGCATATTGTAGAACTCAGTTTGATGGTCAAATAACCTCATAAAAAAGACTGTTTGCACAAAAACTTCATATCATAAAAGTGAGGTTAAGTAACATTAAAAAGTACTTGAGGCTTAGGGCATGAGTAACAGAATTCATTTTACACATACCAGTGTTCTTCTAAGCCCATGTATGTGCCATTTTCCAAGATGATTTTCAGTTGTGATGTCAACAAATACTCAGTTTCTTTTGATAACAATGTTGGAAGATGGGGACTAGAGCTGCAACTGTAGATATCAGGTTAAAAAACATTTCTTGACAAAGACTAGAAAGAAGCAAAAGGAATTTGGCAATGGAGGATATAGCTATTGGGCTTGCTACAGATCCATCTCTTATCTGCATAGACCCTGGCACTGCTGATCCCGTTGTTGTTCAGATAGGCATATTCTTCAGCTCCTCGGATGGGAACCCTGAAATTAAACCCAAAACAGTAATCTGCAGAGTCCAGAACTGTATTCGCTCCTCAGTGAAATCTTGTCTGTCTCTACTGCTTATTTGTAACATGATCAAAGGCAGAGTCCAGGAAACTCATCTGCACTAGTTTTGTACCTACTGTCTTTTTCATTCTCAGGATTTGATTTGAACACAGTACCTTTGACAGTCATCCAAGTTGAACCAACCCTTCAATTTGTGTACAAAGAATTTAACTAGTGCTTGCTACCCACTTCAAATGAACTACAGCCATAGGTGGCCTCTCTGAGGATGATTTTCAATTCTGTTTTGAAGCATTTCACATAGGGGAAAACCACTTCTTAGTAAATTTCTGAATGGACTTTAATAATGAACAAGACTGAGTCTATAATGGCTCCATTCAAAGCATCTATGCCCACATTCAAAAATTGTCTTGGGTGCTCTCTAGTTAGATTTTAAAGGAGGTTTTTAAGGATGTGAAACTTCTGCTTCTCTGAACAGGTACAGCCAGACATATGGTGGACTAATGGGTCTCAGGCTTGCCCTTCTGCAGTGGCTTGCTGAGGTCTCAGGACTCTCATTGCCCATCTAATGTTATTTCTACATTCCACACAGGACATTTATCAACAACAAAGAAATTTAAATTAGTGACGGAGAAGACAATAGCTACCCTAAATGCCATCATCACGCTAAAAATTTTCAGGAAAATCACACTGAGTAAAGGTTTTAGAAATGATGGCCAATATACCTCCAAGTCAGTACAGCTGGCTTCACATGACACAGCCTTTCCTCTCTAATAGACACAACTCACACACTTCACAACAAATGATCACAGTAGTAGGAAAGTGGTTTGAAAACATACGAGCTGTTATATTCTGTGTTGTCCATCCACCTCCAAGGGTGCTGTGATGACTCTCTGTGCAGGCCGATCCAGTAGTCAAAGGTGCCTTTGTATCTATTTATGAAATTCTGTCATAAAACATGGAAAGCAAATATATGTGTCTCTCTGTTTCAGATGACCCTTGAGTGTCCCCCAACCCACAGCTTTCTCTTTAGATGACAGGAGAGTACAAGTGAAAGACACAGCCTTTAGAGCCATAATAGCCCTCAGTTCTCAGTGGATCCAGTTTACAGTCATAATTCTTCAGTACCTCATTTGAATTAAAGTACCAAGTGTAACTACATATTCTTCATGGCTGGGTGAGTTCCTGGTTAAGCCTGCCCTTGCAGTTATTAACAGTTGTCACCTTCAGGATGCAGCCTTTGTTAGCTTGGAGAAAAATGCTCATCACCAGCAGGTATCTTAGTAAAGTGGCATATCTGACCTTCCAGGTTGACTATGAGCACCACATGAGATAATGTTTCATTAATGTCTGAGGACTCCAATCAGAAATATTACCATCAGTAAATGGCACACAATCATGTGTTCCCCATGTCTCCATCTGCAAGGGGTGATCCTTCCTCATGCTTCATCTTTTAATAGTCTATCTCAAGGCAATACATATTCAATAGAACAAACTAATCAATTCCGATCCTTTCTTACCAGTTCCTCCATGTTGTCAAATTTAGCTAACTGTGCCTTTAGTTTCATGCAGAAATTCCAACTGAATGTCCAGTTGCTTGTGTCTTCAGAAAAATAAAAACATTTACTCCCAAATCCAATCCAGTTTCTTGGGCAAACAGCATATGTATTTTTGATTGCGACCTGTTCTGTCATTTTTACTAAAATTTAGACAATAAAATGAGTTATAACAAGAATTGGCATACCCTACTGAGCTCAGATGTGAGGTGTGATTTTGACTGTAGTTTTCCTAACTTATCTGTAGGAGTCTTCTCCTTAAGATGATGGACATTTAGCTAAAGGCATCCCAACTTGGGCCTGTACCCCAATCTCCCTCAGGTGCTCACTGACAATAGGGGCCCTGGAAGTGAGTTCCTATAATATAATCACTTTTTTTTGCTTTATGATTGTTCACTACAATTGGGCTGCTAGAGCAACAAGCACCCTGTATGGCCACCTACTTTGACAGTCAGCCTGATAACTTAGATAACAAGGAGGACTATTGGGAAGGCAGTATATACAGAATGGGCATGTTACACTAAGGGATTGCTCAGACGTTGACATTGCTCAGTCAGAGACATGCTGACTCATTAGAGGTCACAGTCTGCTATAGACTAGCAGCTTTCTCTCTAGCTTGACAATAAGGAACTTCCTCCTTCCCCAACAAAGCTTCTGGATCTCTGTCTAGTCTCATCTGGAGGATGTCCCTGGGCCTGGAGGAATGACATTATCTGAAATCTGCCTCTGAACCAGATAACTGTTTTAATACCAGATGATTGATTCATCCTTAGCTTGCCCTTGATACAGAGCCCTGCTAAGAAGACTTATGCAAAAAGTCTATTTTAAAGGACCCTACTGCCACAAACCAAGTCTTGTGATAGGACCACACTACAGTATGTCCCCAGGCTCCTTAATTCTATGTAAAATCCTTAATCTTTATACTTTGGAATAAAGTTGAGATGATCCACTTAAGTCTGTCTCCCAGAAGCCTCTCTTCATCTGTGCTCATGGACTGTATAAAAAACTTTCTGTCACCCCTTCTTTATTTTTTCCCTTTCAACTTGGTGGCCAACCAGCCAAGAGGGAAAGAGTACCACCTGCCATATAGCAACAGTACAAGTCTTTTATTACACTATTCTAAACAGTGTAATTCTAAAACTCTATAAGTTGATCACTTCAAAAACCTTTCATTGAATACTTTTAAAATATAGTTGAACATGGTAATTAACACCACTGGTACTAGGGACTAGGGGAAGGACATCATCCTGGACATAGTTCTCTTCTCTGTCCTCACAGTTCCTTGAGCTTCCTTCTTTGGGGATTGCTCCCCTTATTTTCTATTTTGAATAGTTCCCCATGGTAGACATATGTCTCCTGCATCTGTCGAGAGGTTGCTCAATGCCATTTTTCCAGGGATGCTGAGCCTGGCCTCCTGCATACACCACAGCCTGTGCTGATCATTCATTGCACATTTCTGCTAGATCATAAGTTCCCAGAGAACAGGAATTTCCAGTGTGTTTTCTCTCCTGCCCTTCACACATTGCCTGGCTCACAGTGCGCACTAAGTGTGGATGTGGACAAAATGCTGCAGGATCTGGAGAATGGGTCACTCACCTGACAATGACAGAGCCACAGAAAGTGCAATCACAGCTGCAGTGAGGACGATGATCACTGCATAGCAGCAGTGAAGCCTAGCAGGAGACCGGGGGGAGACAATTCTGAGACATTTTCCTTGGAGCTTTTTATCTGAAAAATATAAGAATATCAATCTCAAGAATCTTTCATGGAAAAAGCTGTATTTACTCAGACTCATTAGTAGATTTTGCTTGTACTCCTCCTCTGCAAACACTTACTGAAAGTCCTAGTCTGGAAATGATGTCTATGACTCACGGAGAAGTAGAAGAAAGGGAAGCAGAAGTATTGCCATGTAGTCTTCCAGTTATGGAACTGAGAGCCAATAAACAGATTAGAAACAGAAAGAGTGCAGATCAGGATGAAAAAGAAATAACAACAAAAAGAACACCTGTGGAGTTAGTTTCTTAAGAATAGACTGGTTAGGAACTCAGGACGGCGAGGGGTGCACCCACACACTCAGACAATGGGGATGTTCTATCAGCAACTCACCAAGGCCAGCTGGACTGGGTCTGAAAAAGCATGGGATAAAACTGAAATTGCTGAACATAGCGGACAATGAGGACTGCTGAGAAGTCAAGAACAATGGCACTGGGTTTTGATCCTACTGCACATACTGGCTTTGTAGGAGCCTAGGCTGTTTGGATGCTCACCTTACTAGACCTGGAAGGAGGTGGGAGGTCCTTGGACTCCCCACAGGGCAAGGACCACAGACTGGTCTGGGGTGATGAGAGAGGGGGTGTTGATTGGGGGAGTGGGAAGGAAATGGGAGGCAGTGGCAAGGATGACAGAGAAATCTTTAATATATATATATAATAGACTGGTTAGGACTGAGGGAAACATTGTGGGGGTTGGAGGTGGCAGGAATCAGCAAGAGACTGGAGATATAGAAAACTGAGAAATTAGAAACAGTTGTTTCTCTTATAGAGGACCCAATTTTTGCTTGCACCTTCCACATGGGACAGCTAATGACTGCCTGTATTACTCCTCTTCCAGTCAAAGAGACAGGTATGTGTGTACACTTCTGCAGTTCTAGTGTTAGAGATGCAGAAGTTGGAGAGCCATGGGTACGAGACCAGCCTTGGCTACAAAGGAGGTTTGAGGCCAACCTAGATCAGTTTCAAAAACCTAGTAGGTAAATAAATTGGTAAAGACAGATATAAATATAACAGAACACATTAGAACCTAGTGAGTAAATAAATTAGTAAACACACTTAAATATAATAGAACACATTGACATAATTAATGGGTGAAATATGGGAACATTTTAAGAAGTTTTCAATATTGCGTGAAATAAATTAATATTAACACAAAATAACAAAAGCTCTCAGCAGGCTAGTAGTTGAAGGAATTCTTTCCAACACATGGATATAGGACATTTCAAAGAAATAAGCAAGGTCTGTCATTCTTATTAACTTGATTTTTATTTTATGTATATGGTTGATTTGCCTGCATATGTGTCTGTGCTGCAGAATATTTGTATACTGTGAAGATATGTCTCTGCCAAGGCCCTTTTTGATTGGTTTAATAAAGAGCTGAAAGGTCAATAACTATGTAGGTGAGAAGGGGAGATTTCCTTGGAGAAAAAGGAAGGGGAGGAAATATCGAGATGCCAATGAGACACTGAAAGTGTTGAACATACAGAATGAAAGCAAGGTAAAAAAAAAAAAAACAACAATGCAAAAGATAGGTTAATAGAAATGGGTAAATTTAAGTTCTAAGATCAAGTTCAAAACAAGCCTAAAACCTAAGGCCAAACTTTCATGATTAATAAGAAGTTTCTATTTCATCATTTGGGAGGTGGAGGGACAAAGAAAGACTCATTTTATGTCTGTGCATGATGTGCATGCCTGATCCAAAAGGAAACCAGAAATGGGTACTGAAATCCTTGGAAATGGAGTTACAAATAGTTGTGCTGGCCATGAAAGTACAAGAGACTAAATCTGGGTTCTCTGCAAAGGAAGCCAGTGCTTTTAACTATGTTTAACCATCCAGCACAAGATAACCTTCAAATTGTATGAAAATACGAAAGTATTAGTCTAGCTGAGCAAAAATGAAAAACCAAGGGGTCAAATTTGCAGAAATGACACCATCTAATCATAGAGGGGCAGAAACAAAGATTTAAGTATGTTTTGGCTTCTGCCTACCCTCTGAGGCAATCTGTATCACATACTAAAACTCATTTCTCCTACCTTCTATAAAATGCTACCCAAGAATGAATCCTAGGACTATAAAACTATCTGAGGAAAAGAGTAAAAACAATCTTCTGTGACCTAGTGGTGAATAAAAGTGTCTCAGGTATAATACCAATATCCCAATCCACATTATAGAAAATGGAACACTTGAATTTTGGCCTAATTTTAAAAATCTCTCTTTTCCGAGTCTTTCAAAGGGAATTCAAAAAACAATATTTGCAGGACATAGATCAAAAAGGAGTTGTATCCTGAGAGTTGTGAGAACTTATTGTTTTAAGAGAAACAGAGAGAGAGAGAGAGAGAGAGAGAGAGAGAGAATAAAAACGGACCAAATACTTGAATACTGGCCAATTAAGATCATGTATTAAATATGTTCCGCTTGATCAGGTTTGAGAAAAGACAACTGGAAACAGTTTATCAGTTTATATAAATGAGAATACACTTATTACATGTTCTGACCCTGCTAGCCACATATTCCCCCAAGAGAAATAAAATCATGTTTCCACTAAAGAATAAAATCTACATATAAATATTGACAGTAACTCTCGAGAATCTTAGAAAAAATATAAAATGCTTTTTAAAAATCACATCTGGAATCAAGTCAAATATTCTCTAGCTTTGACAATGCAAATCAATATTACTGAGCACTGTAGATGTGACATTCTCCAGGAAATTTTGGAGCATATGCTTGTGCCTGACCATCTCTCTTATTGTGCCCAAGTGTTCCTTAGGCTTAGATCCTCCACAGCTCTAGAGTAGTGAGCTCTGAGCCAGTTGTCCTGCAGCCAATCTTGAGAACCTGATAACAAAGCTGTGTGGGGTTTGTTTGTTTGTTTGTTTATTTATTTATGTCTCTCCAAACATCACTACATTGTTTCTGCTTTAGCTAATCTAATCTACTAGTGTTCCTGTTAGCTTTTCTTAACTTTCTGCAAAATAAAAGCTAATGTATTTTGAGCTGCTTTCAAAGTTCTAAATTCAGAACTGTTTGTGGATCAGTGGTGCTTGGAACATAACTCTGAGGTCAACTGTTTATACTTGACACCCAAGTAACTCATGTGGATGACTACCTACCAGTCTGTAATATCCATAGGAACAGCAAATGTCTGGAAAAACAAATATCAGGAAGGAGTGTCTGGGAAGAATCTGCAATGTGCCTCAGAGAAATTTGACTGGAGTTATAAATCTTTATTTTGCGGTGATGGAGACGTGTGCATATGTCTGACATGAAAATACATGTCCAAGTCTTAAGAGGACTGATGCTTATATTAACAAAAAAGACAATGCTTAGATTGGAGGATTGTAAGCATTATATAATAGCCTTTGGATTTTGACTACCTACAAAACTCTCAACATTCATATTTTGTTGTTCATATTAGATAAAAATTCTGTCTATGTGTTGATTTAATTGGTTAATGAATAAACCTGTTTTTGGCCAGAGGCTCCAAAGACTAGAGCTAGGAAGGAAAATTAAACTGAGTGCTGGGAGAAAGAAGGTAGAGCCGCAAGACTCATGTAGACCTCTGTTGCAGGAAACAGATGCAACAGAATCTTGCTAGTAAACCACAGCCATGTGGGGATATACAGATTAATAGAAATGGGTTATTTTAAGATGTAAGAGCTAGCCAATAAGAAACTAGAGTTAGTAGTGCAAGCAGTAATTTAAATAATATAGTTTCTGCATGATTATTTCAGAGTCTGGACAGCCAGGAAACGAAGAAGTGGCCTCCACCAACAAAAAAAAAAATCTTTAAAATCTCAATTATCATGATTTCTATTTCTTTCTTTCTACTATGGTGATCCTCAAAATGTCCTTTAACCTCCTCCAATAAAGACCCATTTGTTTCACTGGTCTTCCAAAAGTCAGTTCATTTGTAAGTCATTCCTCATCTTCTCTTCTCTTCTATTTTTTAACATTTGAAAACAAGGCATTTATTATTGGGAATTGCAAATCTATACAAAAATAAAGAAAAATATGTTAAATTCTCATGTACTCACTACCAACACTGGTCTGCATGTGGGAAGTCAATTTTCATGAGTTTTCTATTCCTCTTGTCACCCCATCCCCAATATTACTTCTTTAAAAAAATATCAGATTTCTAAACACCTTCGTACTTGAAATGTCTACACTTACCTATGAATGTTGAGTTTAGAAGTGTACTTAAAATCTCTGTCAAATTCTGAATTAATAGTCCATACTCCTAGCCATTCCATCTAACTGTCAAGCAGTGTTATGCCCTCTGTGCCTGATTAATTTTACTCAGCATGTCACTCAGGTCTATGCATGCCGTCACAAAAGATGTCATCTCATCTTCTCTTTTGTATATGTCAAAATTTTCCCCATTTATTCACTGATAGATGGAGGTGGGTTCCATGGGCTGGTTATTATGAACAATGTCACAATACATACATGGGAATTAATATCTCTTACAGGTCTTGGGAGAGTCAAGAGGAAAGAGGCAATATTTGCTACAAAGTGGTATCAGCTCTGGCATCAAAGGCATAGTAGGATAGAGTTCACAATAATGTATAGTGTTCCTAAAAATAGCTGAGGGAGTTTCTAATGTAGTCACCTTAAGGAAACAATAAAAGTGTGTGGTAAGTGTAAAATGTCAGTTTTCTTAAAAAAAAAAAAAAAGGAAGACAGAAAAGAAAAAAAGAACCAAACTGTAAAGTTCGGGATTGTGTTAAAGAACAATACCTGATATGTCTTCTAGTAGAGATTTCAAGCATCTAATCACCCAGGTTCCCGTAGGATTTCACACCAAACATTTCATATACATTATCAACAGCAAGATTTACTGATAGTTGTTCATATTTACAGTTGAATAAAATTTAATACTGTCTGTTTCATCTTGATACATAAATGATGTAACTTTTTCCTTTCACTGGGTTCAAACAGGATTTCACACCAGACATTTCATATATGAAATCAAGAGCAAGATTTACTGGTCATCCTCAATATTTACAGTGGTATAAAACCATACCACCTGTTTCATTTTGATAAATAAATGGCAATTTTTTTGTCCACCTTTCTCATACTGTATATAAATGCATGTCCTTCTAAAACCTAATGCCTTCCATAACACAGTTGTAGCATAGCTTTTGTGTCTTATTAGGAAACAATATTAGAAATAATCTCTTAAAAAAACAAAGAAATGAAACATTGCTGATCTGGTTTTTTTTTTTTTTTTTTTTTTTTTTTTTTTTTTTTTTTTTTTAAGTGCCAGGAATCTTTAATCCCACCACTCAGGGGGCAGAGGCAGGTAGTCAAATACCTGCATTTGAGACCAGCCTGGTCTATAAGAGTGAGTTCCAGTACAGACAGGGCTACTCAGGGAAATGTTAGGAATATTTTTTAGATGAGCCTCTCCACGGAAGCAAATAAGTCCAATCAGACCAAATCAGACCAAATCAAAAACGCCCACGTTGAACGCAATGCTCCCGAGTGGCACCAAGAAAGCATGGCGAAGGGAGAGAGAGAAGTGGAGACCACATGTACAGTCTCTAGGGGGCAGTTTAGGTAGCCTGTGGGCGTGGTTTTGACCTTCCCTGGGGAGGAGTTACCATTTGGCAGGCCATCTTGACACACCCTGGGGAGGGGTAATTCTTGGCAAGCTTTCTCAGAGGTGGAGTTTGGACTAAGGTAACTCTCAGGGGATGGAGCTTGAAATGGAGTTTCTGCCCAGTATTTCAAAGATGGGTGCCAGGGACTGGGATGAGACCCCCAGTATAATTTTCCAGATTCTTTGTATAAAGTGGTGTTAGGGAGCTAGGAAGCTTTTGACCAAACAGGAAACCCTGTCTTGAAAAACAAAACAAAGCACAACAAAACAAAAAGCCTGCTTCACTCACAGAACCAGCTATGGTTTCAAATGAGAGACAAGAGACAAGTTACAAGTTGTGGAATGCCTCCAGTTACACAACATTCACCCTTTGGACAGAGTCTCCACATTTGTAACAGGTGTGTTTCTATTGGGTAAGTATTCATTTTCAAAAGTCAACCTTGCTGGGGCAAAGGGAACAGGGGTTATCAGTCAGTTGGAATAAAGTATGAGACTGTCTCAAAGAATTAGTCAATCAGCAGCAGACAGAAGCAGCAGCAACAGCAGCAGCAACCAACAACAACATAATAATAATAATAGTGCTAATAATAATGTTTCAGTTAAGAGAATACTCAACTTAAGTGATAAGTGTTAATATTTTGTCATTAATTTTATATTTTGGTAAATATCAATCCTGTTTTGCCAAAATCCAGTATCTTTTCCTAAATGAAAAAAATTAAGGTGAAGAGACAGGGATGAAAAAAAAATAAAAGAGTGAAATATAATGAAACATAGACATTTTCAAAGTGCAAGAAACACACATTCACTTTCTCTCTGAAGACTAGTAGAAAACCTATTTTATACCCTAGTATAATTTACTAGAAGTTTAAAATGCAGAAGATTTGTTCCTAGTTGGGGTCAGCCTGGACCCCAGGCCTCCTGCCTCCTCCTTACATCCTTTTCCATCCCAATGGATCTGCAAAGCATAAGCTTCAGCTTCCCAGGCACCTCCTGTCACTCTGCACACTGTAAAGCTGTTGTTTGAATTTGCCTTTGCTGTGGGACTTAAAGAGCAAGTATTTTCCACAGGGACTTGTTGTGATTCACCAGAGTGTAATTTACCAGATCCCTGAGAAAAGAGTGGACTAGCAAGCTAAGAACAAAGAAGGAGAAGGAAAACAAGAGGGAAAGGGAGGGGAGGGAGAGGGAGAAGAGGGAGAGGGAAGAGAGGGAGAGAGAGAAGGAGAGGGAGAGGGAGAAGGAGAGGGAGAGGGAGTAGGAGAGGGAGAGGGAGAAGGAGGAGAGGGAGAAGGAGAGGGAGAGGGAGAAGAGGAGAGGGAGAGGGAAGAGAGGGAGGAGAGGGAAAGGGAGGAGAGGGAGAGAGAGAAGGAGAGGGAGAGAGAGAAGGAGAGGGAGAGAGAGAAGGAGAGGGAGGAGAGGGAGAGGGAGAAGAAGGAGAGGGAGAGGGAGGAGAGGGAGGAGAGGGAAAGGGAGGAGAAGGAGAGAGAGAAGGAGAGGGAGAGAGAGAAGGAGAGGGAGAGGGAGAAGGAGAGGGAGAGGGAGGAGAGGGAGAGGTGTTATTCTTTATGTCCCTGCCCTAGCCACGCCCACTCCTTTTAACTTCTGACCTCCACTCTGCCATCGCTCTCTGCCTGCTTTTCTCTCCCTGGGTACACATGGGGCTTTGCCTCTCCCCTCCTCTCTCTCTCCCTCCTCTCTCTTCTCTCCCTCCCTCCCTCTCTCTCTCTCTCTCTCTCTCTCTCTCTCTCCCTTTCTCTCTTTTATTCCTTTTTAATAAACATTTATGGCTATTTCCTGTGTTTATATGTTATTTTTTAAGAATAACAAGAGGGAGGAGAGGGAGAGAGAGAAGAAAAGAAAAAAGAAAAGCCTTCACTAAGGCGCTTGTATAGCAATTCACTGTTCATTTCTCTTGCTTGAGAACTATTTAAGTGTTAAATATTATATGTTCCAATAGAATAACTAATATAAAAACCTCTTAGCTAACTAAACTCCTGTCCGCATTTTCTGGTTCTGCAGAAACCCCCTGTGGCAGGCTCACAGTCCTGAGGTTCAGCTCCTCTACTCTCTGCTTCTGTTCCCTTCCCTGACAAGCAGCTCTCTGCTCTTGTAGTTCCATTCGAATATGCATTAAATACACACCAATCTCACCTTCCTGCAGTCTGTCTGTGGTACTGAGCATGCCCACAAAAGCCTCTGCAGGCTCTGCAGCACTCATCTCAGAGCTGACAGGCTGAGTTGAAACAAGAAACTGAAAACGCTGAGAGGGAAAAAGTGTCATTTATGCTTGGGGCGGTTCCGCTCGTCAGCAAGCTACAAGCCTTGGCTCCCACACAAAGGGGAGTGGTGAGCCCCATATTGCTGCAGCTGTGAAGTTTGAGGAAATCATTTAAGAAGCAGGCACCACAGCCAGGTCAGAGGATTCTGTATGCTAAAGATCCAGAGACTGAATGTCTTGGAGATAAGAGTCAGAATGGAGAGAGCTGGAGACACACTGTTCACAGTCAATGAACACATTTCTCTCCTCTCCGGGCATAAGAGATCGTTTATTCTGGAGCCAATTATGAGTCATTCAGGCTGTTTCAAATGAAAGTTTCCAATATAGAAATGTTTGATTGATTGGTGGTGTAGGGACAGAAAGACACATCCCACTGCCACCTTCACCAGTCCAAGAAATGCCTCTAGATCAGTGGTTCTCAACCTTCTTAATGCTGTCCCCCATTAAGACAGCTCATCATACTGTGGTGACACCCAATGATAAATTTATTTCATTACTACTGTAGTATTGCTATTGCTCTGAATCAGAATGTAAATATTGCTATGCAGGATATTTGTTATGTGAACCCTGTGATATAGACATTCAAAAACTCCTGCAAAAGAAGTCACAGCCTACAAGTTGAGACTCATTTCTCTAGATTTTCAGGGACCTTTGACTCAGGCCAAACCAAGATTCATAGCTTTGATGCCAAGAAGAATTTCAGGGATAGTCATTTTATGAAACAGAGTTGGAGTTTTTCTAAAATTATTTGTGTTGGTTTAATTATATGTGTGTGGGTATGCCTTTCTGTGGGTCTGTGTCTGTGAGTACAGCTGCCTGCAGAGGTCAGAAGCACATGTCAGATTGTTCCAGAGCTGGAATCACAGGCTTGAAAAGTTTGAATTTATAATGCATGTGCTCCAGAAATATAGCAAAAGAATATCATCATGCTAAAAAAAATCAAAAACCAAACAACAAATTTGCATTGTTTTCATCATTTAGAAATATATGCCAAGGAAAATTGTAAACATCTCAGAAAATTTTTAAAATACTAGAATTTGGGTGATGGGTATAGTGGATTATAACACTGACCCCAAAACTGGGGAGGCTGTGATAGGTCAATCTCTATGAGTCCTAGGCTAGCCTGGTCTACAGAGGGAGCTTCAGGCCAGCCAAGGCTAAGTTAAAAAATACTCCAAACTTAGGGGCCGGAGAGATGACTCAATGGTTAACAGCACTGGCTGCTCTTAGAGAGGACCCAAGTTCAATTCCCAGCACCCAGCTCAAAACTCTTTGTAACTCCAGTTCTAGCGAATCTGATACCCTGACACCAATGCATAAAAAGAAATCAGTTAGGCCGGGAATCTGATACCCTGACATCAATGCATAAAAAGAAATCAGTTAGGCCGGGCGGTGGTGGTGCACGCCTTTAATCCCAGCACTCAGGAGGCAGAGGCAGGTGGATCTCTGTGAGTTCGAGACCTGCATGGTCTATAAGAGCTAGTTCCAGGACAGGATCCAAAACCACAGAGAAACCCTGTCTCGAAAAACCAAAAAAAAAAAAAAAAAAAAAAAAAAAATCAGTTAAAATAAATGTTTTAAAAAGCACTACAAATTTAATATATTAATTATATAAAATATGCCAATAACATGTAATCAATATAGTAATATAGCATATATAAACATATTATGTATACTATAAAAATATGAGTTAATAGATATGTAGTCAAAGGAGCTTTGGATTCAGGTATTTGGGGCACTCAACTGTCAATTTAGTTGGAGATGAGTGTCACTCAGATTTTCTGATGTCCAGGTATGCTTCAGGCTATTTGTTTATACTGCATGAAAATATGTCTGTGTTTTTCCTCACCTGCCTAAGACACCAGATTGATTTAATAAAAATCTTAATGGCCAATAGCTAGGTAGGAGAGGATAGGCAAGGTTTCTGGGGAGAGAGTGGAACTCTGGGAGTAAGGAAGGAGGAGATGCCAGTGAGACACAGAGGGAGTTGGACATACAGAATGGACAAGAGGTAAAAAGCCACATTTCAGAATAAAGACTAATAGAAATGGGATAAGTTATAAGAGCTAGTTGGGAACAAGCTTAAGCTAAAAGTGAAACTCTCATAAATAATAATGTCTCAATGTCATTGTTGGGTGATGGCAGTCCCCCAGTAAAAGTCTGACAGGAAAGTCTTGTTAAACAAGTAATTATTTCCTCAAACATCTGCACAAGTTTGAGGTACAAAAGAAAAATATAAGAGTATATCTCCGGGCAGACGCAGGCTGCAGATGGTGGGGACCGGCTCGGCGGCAGGCGCAGGCCACAGGCGGCAGAGACGGGTGCGCAACACCAAGAGCAGATAGCCCTACTACAATTAAATCAAAGAGGCAGGCCTTTGGTTGGCGAGGTCCCTGCAAACGGGGAGCCTGGTCCTTTTACTGAAGACCCTTCTGAGGGGTGAGAGGGATCTTGGCCCCCGGCAGGAGACAGGAAATGCAGTGGGGGCATTTTGTAAGAGGAGCCCCTGGCCAGCATGGAAACCTGATCCGGTTTTAAAAGACCCATTAGATAGCATCGATAGGAGGAGATGGGCAGGCGCCAAGGGAAAAATTCACCCAACAATCTGAAAAACAACATGAAAACACCTGAACCCAATGACCTTACAACAGAAGGACTTGAACACATTAACACAGAAGAAGTGGAAAAAATTGACTTTATGAAAGCAATAGAGTCCCTTAAACAGCATGTAAAAAATGCCCTTATAGAAATGGATGAGAAGTATAACAAAAAGTTTGAAGAAATGAGTAAATACGTACATGAAACCCTGGGAAATCAAGAAAAAACAATCAATCAGGTAATGGAAACAGTTCAAAAATTGAAAACTGAAATGGAAGCAAGGAAAAAAACACAAACTGAGGACCAGCTGGATATGGAAAATCTAGGTCAATGAGCAGAGCCTACAAAAACAAGCACAATCAATAGAATACAAGAGATAGAAGAAAGAATCTCAGATTCTGAGAACACCATAGAGAAAATAAACACACTGATCAAAGAAAACAGGAAAGCCAACAAATTATCATCAAAAAACATTCAGGAAATATGGGACACAATAAAAAGTCCAAACCTAAGAATAATAGGAATAGAAGAAGGAGAAGCGTCACAGCTCAAAGGCCCAGAAAATATTTTTAACAAAATTATAAAAGAAAACTTTCCCAACAAAAGAAAGATATTCCTTTGAATATTCAAGAAGCATACAGAACACCAAACAGACTGGATAAAAGAAAAACATCCCCTCGCCACATAATAATCAAAACACAAAATATACAGGTTAAAGAAAGAATATTAAGAGGTGCAAAGGAAAAAGGCCAAGTAACTTATAAAGGTAAACCAATCAGACTTACACCTGACTTCTCTATGGAAACCATGAAAGCCAGAAAGTCCTGGAAAGAGGTACTGCAGAAACGTAGAGACCATGGATGCAAACCCAAAGTACTATACCCAGCCAAGCTATTATTCACTATCAATGGAGAAAACAAGACATTCCAGGATAAGAACAAATTTAAACAATAAGTAGCCACATATCCAGCCCTACAGAAAGTAATAGAAGAAAAATCGCAAACCAAGGAATCCAACATTGCCAACACTGCCTACAATAACTCAGGCATCTACTGACCCTTCACCAGCACTACTCCAAGAAGGGAGACACATAAACTCTACTACTCAAAACAATAAGAATAACCGGAGTAAACAACCACTGGTCATTAATATCACTTAATATTAATGGTCTCAATTCACCTATAAAAAGGCACAGGCTAAGAGATTGGATACAAAAACAGGATCCAAAAATCTGCTGTTTGCAAGAAACACATCTCAACCACAAACACAGGCATCTACTCAGAGTAAAGCGTTGGGAAAAGGTGTTTCAAGCAAATGGTCCTAAGAAAAAAGCAGGTGTGGCCATACTAATTTCTAACAAAACTGACTTCAAACTAAAATCAATCAGAAGAGATCGAGATGGACACTTTATACTCAAAACAGGAACAATTCATCAGGATGATGTCTCAATCCTGAATATCTACACCTGTAATAAAAAAGCGCCCACTTATGTAAAAGAAATATTACTAGAACTCAAGGCAGACATCAAACCACACACACTAGTAGTAGGAGACTTCAACACACCTCTCTCTCCAATGGACAGGTCAATCAGACAGAAACCTAACAGAAAATTAAGAGAATTATTGGAGGTAATAAAGCAAATGGACTTAACAGAAATCTATAGAACATTCCACCCAAATAGGAAAGAATATACCTTCTTCTCTGCAGCTCATGGAACCTTCTCGATAATTGACCACATACTCGGAAACATAGGAAACCTCCACTGATACAAAAAAAAATATCAGTGTCCACCTGTGTTGTATCAGATCGCCAAGGATTAAAGTTAGAAGGCAAAAGCAATGCTACCCTCAGAAAGCCGACAAACTCATGGAAACTGAATAGTCAACTACTGAACCACCGCTGCATCAAGGAAGAAATTAAGAAAGATATTAAGGTTTTCCTTGAATTTAATGAAAATAAAGAGACAACATACTCAAACCTATGAGACACAATGAAAGCAGTGCTAAGAGGAAAGTTCATAGCACTAAGTGCCCACTTAAAGAAAATGGGGAAAGCATACATTGGAAACTTAACAGCACACCTGAAAGCTCTAGAAAAAAAAGAAGCAGACGCGCCCAGGAGAAATAGAAGACTGGAAATAATCAAACTGAGGGCTGAAGTCAACAAAATAGAAACACAGAAAACAGTACAAAGAATCAGTGAATCAAAAAGTTGGTTCTTGAAGAAAATCAACAAGATCGACAAACCCCTATCCAAACTAATTAAACGACAGAGAGAGAACACACAAATAAATAAGGTCAGAAATGAAAAGGGGGACATAACCACAGATACAGAGGAAATTCAGAGAATCATAAGATCTTA